TGGATGTTATACACTTTGCAAGAACAAATGTTAAGACTTAATACTACTGTTTTTGAAATGCGAGGGTGGACTCCAGTTATTCGTATCCGCCCCTTTGTAGATGACGACTATGCCACTGAGTACTACCACTTGTAACTGATTGAAAAATACTCCTAGTTAATACGAAACTATTACTAAGCCAATTGTAACAACGACAAAATCTTCTGAACAACACTCTATTAAAATAACGACTGGCATTATTTCTCTAACTTACGGAAGTTTTGAAAAATATATTTTTTTCTTACATTTGGGTCATGCATAATTAAAATAGCCCAGAATACTTTGAATTAATTGTTAGGGCGTATACAGGATTATTTCGGAGAAAAAAGATTAGTTTGTCGGTCAAGAACTTTTAAGTGATTTTTCCTAAGTGGCCAGATATATAATACATACTGAAATAGTCGCCGCTAAAGTCTGTTATTTTCCCCCATCGTGTTATAATTTAACTATGGCGACTGTTAAGCTAAATCAAGTCTCAAAAACATTGCGATAAAACAAAAGAACATTTGTTTAAACCTTCTTAATTGACCCGATGCGATTCAATAGCACCAGTTTTCAAAAACCCTACCACTATTCTATTTGTTCTGGAATTTTTTTAATATCATAAACAACTGGTAAAAAATAGAAACAAAATTAAAAATATTTCATATTTAAAAGATAAAAAAGTCACAGTAAAGCCGATATTTTATTTCAAAGAAAGAAAGCATTGGTCTGATGACAAGGATGAAAAGAGTGAATGGGAGGAGCTTGTGTGACAACAAACAATGATGCATGCAGTGCTTTGACTGGTTTACTCTTGTAAGAATGCTCTAACACATAGGAATCCATTAAAAATAATCAATCAGGACTTGTCAATCTTGACTTTCGGCAATTTCGGAAATCTCTTTTTTCCCGTTTATGTTAATATTTAGTGAGATATTTTCAAACTACTGGATTTTTGTCGTTCACAAGACAAATTATCATATAACAAGAGGTAATATCCGCTTCAGTTGTCACATATCCTTATTTCAAAAATATGAGATTGTTAAAGGTTTAACTTGAGAGCTATCGTCGTGAATCACAAGAAAAAATAACCGTTGAAGTTACCTGTACAATGGAAAGTTTTTAACAGTTAATTATAATTCTGTAATTTATTGTAGTTAAACACATGAATAATATAGGCACTGTAAGTAACAATGACTTTATCTTTATGCATTATAATATTTGTAGAATTAAACAAGGATTATGTAAAAATAAGTGTCAAAACTATAGAATAGTATAAAATGTATTACTGCAGTTCTATCAATGTTATATTATTTTTGAAAATATGAAACAATTTCTAAAGGCATTACTATTTAAACAAACTCAAATGTTTATTATCTTTGGCACAGTGTGCAAATTTGTCAACTTCCTTCGGAAGATTTTGGAAAATAATATCTTAAAGAAGCTTATTCGGTAGAGATATTTTTCCATCTAGCATATTCTAGTGGAATTTATAAGAATTAAGTTCGCGTTTTCCACACACACAAAGAAAATGGGTCACTGTTTTGAAACTACATAGACAATAACACTATTTTAAGTACGCTTTCAACAAACACAGCAAATGGGTCACTAACTGAAACTAACTAGGCTATAAAACTACACTTAAGTTACTGTTTCCAAACTCATAGCCAGTGGGTCACTGTTCTGAAACTACCCTAGACAATAAAACTAAGCTTAAGGTCAGTTACATGCTTCTTCCACAAATGGCCTCTCGTAGCATTCGGTTCAGATGAACATGGTTTCTGTCGACTAGTTTTGAAGTCGATTTTATGATAGTTGTATTTTTTGAAAAGTCATTCTCGAACCAAACAATTCTTTTGTTGAAGAATCATATTACCATATATCCTTTAATAATTTCTGAATATTATGTCTGGGAAATCAACGCTCTCCTCAACATTCCTTCAGTTTCTGGTTTTTGAGTATAAACCTAAAAGTGAGTTCATGTGAAGAACAGTCCATAAAGTGAAGTGAATTTAGCCTTTGATGAATTTTCAGGAAGATTAAAGGAGTCTTCTGGTTTTTGAGTATAAACCTAAAAGTGAGTTCATGTGAAGAACAGTCCATAAAGTGAAGTGAATTTAGCCTTTGATGAATTTTCAGGAAGATTAAAGGAGTCTTCTGGTTTTGGCAGATGCTCCCAGAGTTAAAAAGAAATCAGACAGGTTCATAAAATGATTCTTAATAACATGCGTTTCTACACATACACAGCAAATGGGTCACTGTTTTGAAATTATATGGACAATAAAACTAGATTTAAGTTCGTGTTTCCACTAACGTAGCAAATGGGTCACTTTTTAGAAAGTACATAGATAATAAAACTATTTGCTGCCATTTTTAAAATACGTTGCTGGTCTGAAATCCCCCTTCACCCTAAATCCTAGTACTCCAGGTTCATCTCGTTCTAACGAACAACCATAACGGTATATTTGGCAATTTTAGCAAAGCTTTACTAACATAACTTAGTGACACACACGCACGAAAAGATCACATACACGGATGAAACCATTATTGATAATAGTAAAGAATTGTTTTCTTATGTCATAAATTGGCCCGACATGGCCAGGTGGTTAGGGCGCTCGACTCGCAATCTGCGGGTTCGAATCCCCCGTCCCGCCAAAAATGCTTGCCCTTTTAGCCGTGGGAGCGTTATAATGTCAATCCCACTATTCGTTGGTAAAAGAGCAACCCAAGAGTTGGCGGTTGGTGGTGATGACTAGCTGCCTTCTTTCTAGTCTTACGCTGCTAAATTAGGGACGGTTAGCGCAGATAGTTTTCATGTAGCTTTGCGCGAAATTCAAAAACAAACAACCAAATGTCATAAATTGAAAAAATAAAGAATGATGTTAGTATGGCAGTGCCAAAAAGTACAGAAACAAGGTAAGGATGAATACACAAAAAATATACAAAAATCCTTACATAAATAGCCAAATCTTTCCAAGAAAAACTTTTATCTACAACTATATGTTGAATTTCTTTCATTTGCACGAATTCTTGTTTGAATAATGTTATAAAGTCTTACAATGGCTAACTCCCATAAGCTTGTAACTTGGAATCAGTGGTTACTTATGTAGGGATTTTTATATGGTTTTATGTATTCAGCCCTTTCTTGTTTCTGTAATTTTTGGAATTTTCATCCTTACATCATCCCTATTTTTTTTTACAAAATTTATGTATTTGTTTCCGCTCTTTTTTTTAAACAATACCAATGAATATT